GTACCATGCTGTTTTTATCACAGTAGCTTTGTAATATAATTTCAGGCCAAGAGTTGTGATGCCCCCTTGCCTTGCCTCTGTTTAGATTGATTTTTGTATGTTGAACGATCCTTGCATTCCAGGAATAATTTAAGATTACTATTTTTATTTTCCTTTGTCTATGTACATTTCCACACTTGCCAGGGAGGCAGCAAGAGTAGTAGAAAATGTGCAGTATTTGGAATCAACAGAATTAGCTGACAATCCTAGGTAGGTTGTTATCAGTGGGACCTTGAGCAATAACTTAACTCTGAGCCTTCCATTTTAAAACATGCAAAATGGCTTTGATAACCAACATTGCACATAGCTGTGTTTCTTTGACCTAAAGCCTGTGAAGTTGTTTGGCAAATAGGATGTCTTTAAATGTTTGGTGATATTGTTATCACTGTCACCATCACCAGTATCATCATTATCAGCATCATGATCACCATCACCTCAGCTGGCATGAGAAGAAACAGGAGCCCTGTGGGGTATGGAACATGCTAACATAGTTGCTCCCCTTTTGACAGTCATAAGGACACTGGAAGGTCCAGGGCTGAAGGACACTGGAAGGTCCAGGGCTGAAGGACACCCATCCTGGTGCAACTTGCCCTGACCCCGAGGAGGCCAGAAGACTGGGGTCACATTAGGAACAGCCTGCTGGTTCTACAGAAGTCCTCATGGCTTCTCCTGTGTATCCCAGACCAGCCCTCTTAGGCACACTGAGGTGGCCCTCATGGGTGGCAGTGGCTTCTCTTCAGAGGAGGAAGATTGGGCATGCTGACCAGAGCCATACCGGAGGAGGACCTCAAAGGCTGGGCTTCAGGCTAGGGCTCTGCAGGCTCCTGGCCTCTGTCCAGCAAAGACACCGCCTCCCACAGAGCAGTGGCCCTGCAGCTGGGGATCAGGGTGAGCCATTTCCTCCTGGGAAGAGCAGCTGCCGGTTGGCTTTTCATCTGCAGACTCCACCCGGGTGGGTTTTCCTTTCTTTGCTGTTTGGAAGAGCATTGTTACCAGGGAAGGCAGGGACCAAGGGGAGGCCACTGGAGCAGCTGAAGGTTTGTGGGCCAGGGGACCGTGTGGAGGCTTGTTTGGTGGTTACTCGCAGGAAGATTTTCTTTCTTCTTTGCGAGCTCCACCTCTCTTTGCTTCTTCCTCTGTCTTTGCTTTCCACTTTTCTGGCTTAGTTTTTACTGGGAGCATTGGCTCCGGGCCAGCCCCTTCCCATCCTGCAGCCTCGTGTCTTTGGGCATCTCCCCTTTCAGTTTCGCTTCTCCTGGGTTTTTTTGCCCCCGTGTGTCATGTCCTCTCTGTCTTGTTTGTGTGTCTCTTTGAGGGGCTTTCTTTGGTTTTGGTGAGGGTCACTGTCCTCTGCTTCGCCCAGCCAGTAAGCTCTCACTGTGTCACCTGTGTGTGGCCCTGGGTGACTTGGCTGCCTGTGGATCTTGGGGTGGGAAAGGCAGTGGCCAGGGAAGCTTGTGTCAGCCATGGGCTGAAGCTCCCGTGTGCCCGTGTCAGTGTGGGACACCGGAGCCTCCCGGTGGGTAGAGGACACTGCGAGCAGGAAGGGAAGGAAAAGATGGGAGGTAACTGGGGCCCCTTCCTGGGCCTCTGCCTCTGTTTTGCTTTCCCATTTTCCAGGAGAAGGTAGAAAATGGAGGAGGAGGCTGAGGACAGAGCTGGGGAATGGTAGCTATGAAAAGGAGAACCATTGCTGTTTGCCATGCATTGTGCGTACCCTATCTATGCTTGCGGGTGGCAGAAAGGGAGCCCCATCTTGCTTAGGCAAGGCAGGGACTGTCATCAGCTCACTGAGCTGAACTGCAGGAAGGGCAGGCCTGACACACCAGAACCACTTCCAGTGCCTCCTCTGCTTCTCCCTCCTGGCCAGTTCTTACCTGCTACTATCGGCTGTCACCCCAGAAACCTCTCTACCCCGCCCATCACAGCGTGGCTTCTCTGTCCCTTCCTTTCTAGTTTCCCACATGGCACACCTAGGTGGGGGGACACTGACGCTTCCTACCCATTCCTTGTAGCCACCAGGGAGGGCTGGGTGTCTGCCTCCTGCAGACCACTGGCTGGGCGGGGGGAGGACGAGGCTTCCAGTAGAAGCTGCCAGTCAAAGAAGCAGGGACAAGTGGGCCAAACAGACAGCTGTCCCTCAAAAGCCGCTCTCACCCAATCCTTACCGCCCCTCAGATGCATATTATTGTCCCCACTTTATAATTGGCTCAGCGAGGTTAAGTAACTATTTTAGGCTACAGAGTCACAGGGAGGCGGGAGAGCCGAGTGGTTCCAAACCAGGTGGCGCCAGGGCACTTGATTCTGAATCTGAGTTCTGCCACTTTCTAGCTCTGGGACCTTGAGCAAATGACTGAATCTTCCTGGCCTCAGTTTACATACCTGTACAATGGAAATGATCATAATGACAGCCACTTTCCGGGACTTTTATAAGGACTGAATGAATAAACCACTTAAAATGAGACTTGGCAGGGCATGAGCACCTCATAATGATGCATTTTTTACTACAGGCTTAGCGATTGCAGTGAACTTCCATGTGTGATGTGTTACTTGACCTCTAGAACGGCCTTGCTGAGTGGGTGGGGACATGGATTGGCTGATTCTATCCTCTCTTAAGCAGGTGCCTGAGTCTGTAATCTGTTAAAACAAAAAAATACAACAAAAAAAAAGCTGGCCCTCCTAAGTAAGCTGCTGTCTGTCCAAGGAGGGAGTGTAGACTCCCAGTGGGGTGAGCTGGCAGGCAGGGCCCTCCTGCTGGCTCCTTGTGCATATGTATGAAGATGGAGGTGCTGGGGAGCTTGTTTGGCAGGAGCTGCTTTTCCTTCCCTGTGGCCATGTTTGCAGAGCTCATCTGGCCCCCCAGGCAGTTTTAGTCTCTTGGGGCTGGGTAGAAACAAGTGGGGTGGCGCTGCGGTGGTGGTGGTGGTGGTGGTGGTGTTCCCGGAAGAGCAATGCAGGTGGCCATGGCCCTCAGCTTCCCAGGGGGTGGGCACCCCCCCAATCTGGGGGGGTGCTGCTCACAGCAGAAAGCTACCCCGCCCCCCACCAGGGAGGCAGACAGAGCAGGCCTGAAGCCTGGAGCCCGGCGCTCACTTGCTTTCTCTGCCCATCTCTTTCCCTAGAAAATGGGTTTGTGTTAAGAAAGGGCCCTCAGAAGCCAAGGCACCTCGCCCGCAGGGGGAGCAACGGACGATGGGCACAGGCCTTTGCCGTCACCCCAGCTGCACGGCCTGGTGCACCTGGCGTAGGTGGCTGTCACGTAGTGTGGGTGTGAACGGTGTGAGGCCAGGCTGACGATGGCAGCAGATGCTGCTGCCGCCCAGGACTGAAACTGGCATGGGTGTGCTGCAGAGGGCTGGGGTCTTTACATCCCTGAGACTTCACTGAGTCTTACTGTTGAAGGAAAGTAGGGAGAGGGTGGTCTGATCTGTTGGTGTCAAGCAAAACAATTGAGAGACAAGGGACTGGCCCCAGAGGCTTTCCAAGGCCTCCAGAGCCTTGCTACCCAGTGTGAGAGTGAGGGACTGGGCTCTGTGCCTCCCGGAAGCCCTTTCTCGACATGATTCCATCTCTCCCTGTCCCTGAAGCCAGCATACTCCCTTCCATCTCCAATCAAATGTCGTCTTCTAGTGAAAGGAACGTGCCCATTCCTTTCCTCCTGCTCATTCCTTTTCTCTTTGGGCGGCCACCGTCCAGCCCTGCTGGGCCTTATCTTCTAATCTGGCTCCTGCTGGGCTGCCCCAGGTACCCTCAGCTATTGCTCTGCCAGCCCTGGTGTGACCACCTGCTGACTCCAGCACATCAAAATAGCAGGCGGGAGTGGAAGCCAGTGTCCTGGGCCAGGCCATGCACCTGCCTGATGGGCTGAAGCAGATGTAGCTTCTTTTTTGGGGACTCAGTTGCTTCAAATGAAAATCTGAGCCTTCATCTCAGTCATTCTCATCCACTCTGGCATTCTGTGATGCCGGGTCCATCTGCTAAACCTTACATCTTGGCTATACTCTATTTATACACAGTGAAATCTTGTAACAGCATCTTTGTTGCAAAGATGTAAAAACACTATAGGCTCAATGATGTCTCCGCAGCCTATAATAATAGCTTTGGGTAAACAGCCTAAGCCATGGGGCCTAGGCGTTCTGCGACCCCATGAAACAGTCCCTTTGGGTATACCCTGTTGGGAGTGGGGGGTCTCGACCCTCTTTGGGGCATCCTCCTAGGACCCAGGACGTGTGATCTCTGGTCATGTTGTTTGGGCTGAGCCTGCAGAAAGGCAAGCAGGTGCCCCGGGGGAAGGCTAGGAGGCAGGACAGGAAGGCATGAACATGGGATAATGAAGTTTCACTGTAATTTGAAGCCTCTGCCTTTTAAAGGGAGGTTGTTTCTGAGTTACTGCCACAATAGAACCGGGTATTTGGATCTACCTCACTGCTGCATGGACTCAGAAATAATATACCATGTTGCTATATCATCAACTAGTAGCTTCTCTTTCCAAGCAGCATTTACCCAGCAATTAAGTGAAATTATGTGACTCAATATGGAAAGATAATCACCAGAGAAACTTTTCTGATTACATTCTCCTCTTGCACATGCAGCAGGCACTGCACAAACGGCAGGACGATGAGAGAAGAAAATTAATGTGGAAATGCTGCCACCAGCTGAAATGTCAGCTGTTTACCCATACAGGGAGAAGTGAGGGTGTAGAGAGGAGAAGTGAGTGGAGACCTGGCTCCTCCTTCTCATGTCCTATAGAGGAAGCCAGTGGGATTGGGCCCATCCTTCAGACAGGAGAATGGTCTAAATGACCTAGAATTAAAGAAATGGGGAGCCAGAGAACAAGGAGGCAGGGAGTCCCCTACTCCAGCAGCGATGATTTCTTGGGTGCCTTATTTTAGCAGACCAGATCTGTAGGGTGCTAGGCATGGGTCCAAGGTCTCAACATGACGAGGCCCTCCTGCTTGCAGGCACACTGAAGCTCAAGGACCGTTTCTGGGCGCCCTCTCCCAGCCCTGGTAAGTGCTGCCCTGCTTTTCCCTCTGCCAAAGATTCCCCGCTCCACTCTCCTACCTGCTCCGTAAACTCTGTGGCTGAGAAATAAGATGTATCATTTCTACCACCTCTTAACCTCCCCATCCCAGGCAGCTCCAAGCTGTCCAGTTTCGTCCCTGGGAGGAGGGAGAAAGGGAGAAAGGAATGTGTGGGAAGGGGTAGGATGGGGATACAGAGGGGCTGTGTGGGAGCGAGGGAAGCCGGGATGGAGTTTTTTGGTTCAGCAGAGACAAAGGCATTTTGTGTCACCTCAAAGGCTCTGTGTATGTACTTGGCCCTTCGACTCCTAGCCGGTGCCATCTGTATCACTGACGAGATTTTTCAAAATAGGTTTAGGGGCCAAGAGGCACCAGGAGGAGACCTGAGCTGAGGTGCAGCTGGTGGAACTGAGCCTTGGCAGCAGCTTGAAGGGGTGGAGAGTGGGTTACTTTTCAAATCTATGACAGTATTTCTTTCAGCACACTGTAACTTGACCTGAAATGCTTTCTTTAGAGTACAACGACAGGTCTTAACGTTTTAGCGCTTACGGTTCTCCACAGTCTGATTCCAGTCCTCTTAGGATTCTCACCATCAACTCATCCTTTTCATAGAATGGATTTCACTGGAAATGGGAAATATTTGGTGGGTTGCTGGCACAGCCTTCTCTTATGTCGTGCAGACATTTGTAGTGGATGAAACCCTCTCATCTGCTCAGCCTTGTTCAGAGCCCTTCTAAGGAAGCCAGTTTAGACAGCTGCTATTGAATGAAATATCTTGAGGCTCAACTTGAAGTGAATTTGAACTCGAACTGAGTGCTATTTGTCATCCTTCTTTCCACGCCCGCCCCCTGTGTTCATGCTCTTGGCTGTGACAAACTGCCCTTCCTTTTTTCTCTTCTCAGTCCTATCTATCAAAATCTTGTCCTGCATTCAAAGCTCCTCTGAAATGTTAACTCCTCCATGGAAACTTCCCGGGTTCCGTACTCCCCGCTCCTCTTCTCCCTGTTTCTATGGATTATAGCTGTGTGTAGTCTCTACCTCTTGGGAAGTCCTCCCCAAACTTGCTGATGTATCAGAGCCCTTTGCTGCCAAACCCTGTCTCTCCTTGGTAGCTAAAGCTGAATCTTGTTCCCTTATTTATCCCTTGGAGACCCAAAATAGTGTGGCTCTTTCTAGAGATTCAGTATTTGTGGAATTGACTTGAACCTGAGCGTCTGAGGAGGTGATTGTGAGAGACTAGGGAAAGGTACAGCAGTGCCCTGAGCTTCCAACCACTGTATCTAGTAGCCTGGGACCCTTGACACATGTATTTCCTACTTCAAGAGGAGGACTGGAGATTTAGCTCAGCGGCACAGCGCCTGCCTGACAAGCGCAACGTCGTGAGTTCGATTCCCGGTACCAGAAAACAACAAAAAAAAAAAAAAAAGAAAGAAAAGAAGAGGAGCCTGCTAGCCTACTAACACTTCTGCTGGCTAGGGCTGGGAAGCCTAGTTCATGTTTCCTCCCTCTGGCACTTCAGATCCAACATTCACCAAAGCCCCTACCTAGGACTTGAAGGCCTTTGGTATCCAGTTCCATCCTCCACATCTTGAATCCAAACTCTTCGCTGTGTGCACAAGGATAAGATACAATTTGAAAATGTAATTTGTAGATGCAACCTGGTCTAGGAGATAGCAGTAAACTTAAGGAAGGAAGGAAAGAAGGAAGGGGATTTTACAAATATCAGGTGCACAAACTTATTTTATTTCATACTTTGAAAAATGTAATTAGGATAATATGATTGCCTCAATAATTTTTTTTACATTTTCTTTTTTAAAAAAAATTTGATTGCCTCAATAATTGAAGGAACTATAAATATTTGATCCCTGAGCCAGGTACAGTGGTGTATGCACCTGTAGTCCATACTGCTTGGAAGGCTGGTACGTATGTGGGTGGATATTGTATGAGGCTATAACTTTGAGACCAGCCTGGGCAATATAGTGAGGCCCCATCTCAAAGAAAAGATAAATAGTCCCAGATTTATTATTACAGAGCTGGACTTACAAGAAGGAAGGAAAACACTCAGTCATCAGTCGTCACTTCTTTCCACATACTACACACTTCTTTATCTGAAAGCTAAAAAAGAAGAACTCATAAAACTAACACTGGGTTATGTGAAATGTAAAACAATTAAAGTAGAATTGCTCTTAGAATCAATGTTAGTTTACATGACTACATTCTGCAAACTAATAACCACTGGGTCCAGCAAGGCTGAGAAGCCAAACCTGAGACCCTCATATTAAGCCTGGGAGTCTTGAGAGGGGATAAGTGGGCTTAAGGTGGTATCTGCTACCCTTCATCTCCGTGAAAATGCAAATAGAATTCTCTCTTGGAGGAAAGTATCCCATTTTAGGACTATCAGTTTCCCACAGGTTAAAATCTGGCAAACATGAGTTCACAATCAAAGATTACTAAACACAGCAAAAAGCAAGTCACTGTATTTGAAAGGTACAGACACAATAAATAGATTTGGACTCCTAACCATTTAAGATTTTGGAATTGCCAAAAATAGAATATGAAATAATTATGTAGAAAATGTTCAAGGAAATAAAATGGGATCAAATAAAAGACCAAGCAACAAAGACTAGTGAAATGACCAACGAAGTTGAAAAAAAAGCCAAACAGAATATTTTGAAATAAATAATATAATCATTGAAATAAAAAATTAAATGGATAGATTAACAGTAGCTAAACAGTTAAAGGCAAAATGCAAATAGAAAATAAATCTTAAACAGTTACACAGCAAGTGGCACAGGGAAAGGAAGTGAGAACTGAAAGCAGTTAAGTGCAATGGAGAGTAAAATGAAGATATCCAATCTATTTCTAATCATTGTATTAGAAAGAGAAAACAGCATGGAGGAAGGGCAATGTATCAGTCAGTGTTTACTAGAGAAACATATAATACAAGATGTACAACTATATGAGAATTTACACATTGGCATATGATGGCTCTCCACACAATCAGGTATGAACGAGTGCAAAAGATCAGAAGGATCCAGTCAGAGAGGATCCAGCCTGGAGCTCCGTGTAGTGTCCAATGTGAGTCTGTACCAGGAGTCTGAAGGGTCTGTGCTGGAGGCTGAAGAGTGTGCTCAAAGCCAGGAGATGATGGCCAAGGTGAAAGCAAAGACTGAAACTTCTCCAAAGGAAACAGAAATAATCCCTCCTTTTTCATTCCCCCTTTTTGGGTCTCCCACACCCAGAATGATGCTGAGCCTATTTATTTATTTATTTATTTAGTTAGTTAGTTAGTTACCAAGAATCGAACTCAGCATCTTGTACTTACTGGGCAGGAGCTGTGCTGTGTAGATATATCCCTGGCCCTTGAGTCAGTTTAGTTGGGCATTATTTACTGAAGTTGGCACAATCAATCAAGCATCACAGGCGATATTTGAAGAGATAATACCTGAGAGTTTTTCATAATTATGAAATGGGAAGAATCTGCAGATAAAGGAGACACACGAGAATACAGTAAGTCTCCTACTTATGAGTGAACTTTCACAGATACGGATGACGCATTGCCATCATGAGCATGTGTAGATGTGAACAGATCATGGGATTAGCTCACGTGTCTGCAGGACATTGTCACAGCTGTGCTGCTGTAGGCTTACAGTACAGTGTGATGGTGTACGGGAGTACAGTGCTCAGTCAGAGCCCAGGATGTCTGGAAGCAAGAAAAGCAGTGGTGATGTGGAGGGGACAGCTAGGAAACACAAAACAATACGCGTTGCATATTTGTGCCAAAGGCATATAAGCGTCAATTTATCAGACTTAGGAATGAATCCGACTTAGGAACACTGTCCTGAAACGGAGCTTATTTGTAAGTCGGGGACTTACTACACATAAAAATAAATCCACACGTAGACATTATTCTAATGAAATTCAGAACATAAAGACGAGAAATAAAAAGGCAGAGAGAAAAGATGGAAAGAATGTCTATAAAGGAGTAAAGTGGCAGACTTCTTAAAAACCATCATGGAAATCAGAAAGCAGTGAAATAACATCTTCCAAATATGAAGCAAAAGTGATTATCAACCTATAGTTTTGTACACAGCCAAACTACTTTTATTAGTTCATTGCTGTATAACAAATTTCTACAAACTTAGCAGCTTAAAACAACACACAGTTATTTATCGCATAGCTTCCTTAGTTCAGAGGTCTAGCACAGTTTAGCTGGATTCTTCCCTCCAGAGTCTTACCAACCTACAGTTGAGGTGTTGGTTGGGGTTGTGGTCTGATATAAGGATCGACTGGGGAAAGCTCTGCTTCCAGCCTGCTTCAGGTTGCTGCTAGAGTTAATCTCTGTGGCATGAGACCCTCATTTTCTTGTTGGCTGTTGGTCAAAGGTTGCTTTCTTTCAGTTGTCAGCTGCTTCCCACAATCCCTTGCCTTGTGCTTCTCTTCATTGGTCTTTTCACAACATGGCAGTTTATTTTTTCAAACCATCAAGGGAGAAAGTTCTCTGGTTCCAGTTTGCTAAGACTGGGTCTTTTGTAACATAACAGCGGTATTTGTGTGACATTGCGTCACCTTTTTCTGCCACATTCTGTTGACTGGAAGCAGCTATGCATGCTCATAACGGTAATGTGTCATCTGTATCTGTGAAAGTTTGAAACTCAGACATTCATAAGTTGGCCACTCCTACTACATTCAGGAGGAAGAGGTCACACAAAGGCTTGAGCTCTAGAAAGTTGGAATTATTGGGGATCCCCTTAATTTCTGTCCTTATGTTCAGTGCACCACAGAGGTGAAATGAAAATACTTTCAGATCCACAAAAACAGTTTACAATGGATAAGTCTTCATGAAGCCTTTAGAGAGAAGGAAAATGGCTAAGGCTAGCTGAGATTGAAAAAGAATGGAGAATAAATCACTTAGTAAATATATTGTATTTGTTCTCTCTTACAGCATAATAAATTACTCCCAGCACAGCAGTTTAAAACAGCTG